TCTACGAGATGCCATTGTAGGACCCTGCCCTAGAGTATTTTTTTCTACGATATCTCTGGATAAGAATTATACACAACACAATGCATCCAGAGACAATATATTTTTAGAGGCCCTGTAGAGATAATCTGATCGAGATGAGCGAAAGTTAAAATCGTAGGTCAACGCTACTTTCGCCTGATGATGATTGATGAGCAACGTGTTGCACAGAAAATCAAATAAAATTCGCCAGATGAATGTTGAAGCACTTAGCCGGGCGAGTTTTTGCAAGTAAGGTTAGGATTCCCTAATCCAATTGCGCAACTCTTCGGTCACCAATCATCATTCGGCGAATATGAGCGTTGACTTCCGAAATTAACTTACACGCTACAGGGAAGACATCAGTACAGGGTCTCTATGATATTTTGTCTACGGATGCATCTGATTTTCGACACTTATAATCGTCTGCGGCGTGGAAATTAGGTGCGGGTTCGTTTCGACAACGCAGTGCAAACACATGTCTCGTGGCTCGAAGCAAGCGCGACGAGCAAGTGCGTCATCGAAAGCGTCTCGCACTTGAGTCATCACACGCATCAGCGACAAGCTCCGGACTGATCGCGATTACCTGGCTCCTCTTTCCAACACCCCCCCGACCCCGATACTTAGGGCATCTGGCTCCACTGTATCATAGAGAGCAAACACGACAGGGCAGCATCTCAGTGGCGCGGTGTGAATGATCGATTGTCGATATTTCCTCGTTTGAAGCTGCGGTAAAGAATCGATTGTTAGGGTGTTCGTTGCAAACACCTCCTTTGGCGATCCTTTTCCGTAGGATCAGATGGCAGGTCAATCGATGTATCGCAAAGCACGCTACGCCACGGCAGCATCTCAGAGGAGCGAAGCCCCACAAACCACGACGAACGCCCCGCAAGATATCCCGATGGGTTGCCACTCCGTTCGGTGAAACCCTCGCTGGGAAAAAAACACATTGGATCTGGATTCCTGACTCTTAAAAACATCGACAAGAAAAAGGACTCTTGATTCAATCAGAATCTAGCTTAGATCAAGAACCAAGCCTCTTACTTAAAGCGGATTTCGTTTTGGTTCAAGCAAAAATCCGATTGAATCAAGAGTATTTCTTCTTGTCAATGTTTTCAAGAGTCTGGACTCTAGATCCAATGTGTTTTTTTTCCAGTGCTACACACCGAAAATAATACGTGCCACTTAGGCATCTTGGATATCAAAAATGTGTTTGGGGATCCGTGGATAGTCCCTTGAAATCTCTCCGTAGTTAGATTTGCAATTCCAAGGCGTGGAGTCAACCACCGAGGCAGTCAAGGCAGCATCAGCATGTGAGGATCACCAGACTCACTTTTGATATCCACGATCCTCATCATCGTCCTTCTGACATGAGGGCTTGCCGCAATTTGCAAGATGTTTACGAACAGTTTATTGATCCTTTTCTATAGATTTAAATGGGAGATCAATCGATATTTTGCAAAGCACGCCACGCCACTGATACTGCCCAGAACGAGACGGCTTAAAACGGTATCCATCTCGATCACTTCGGTGCCAGGATTAGCGAAAACATCTTGAAATCGAAGGTAGCTCGCAAAAATTTCAGCGATTTCAAACGAAAAGAAAACAAGCCGAATCCAAGCGAACTAATCCCTGTGAAGTTAACCTACTTATTTTGAGTTGCTTTCCACAGGTTTTGAGGAACGAAAGGTTCCGTGTTCGTTTTGAAGCACCACGGTCTGAAAGCTGTTGAGATCGTTCGTATGCTACTAATCCGCGTGCATTATTTATCGTGTACCTACTTAATTTGTGATTATTGGCTTTAGTTTTTCACTTCAGTTTTCCTCTCGTCGGACTGATTGCGACTTATTTGACTTGACTGTACTCTTTTCAACGTCTCTGTCTCCTATTCACTTAAATTGGTTACAAACAACTTGATTGTCAGTTCTGCATGGAAGTGAAATCTTGGGGATTGAAGGAGAATAGAGATGTTGTATGTGTGAGGAATTTGCGATTTGACTGTTGATTCTTACGGACAAGTTTGCGAGAAACACGATGGTGCCACTGGTTTTCTCTGAAATCAACTCCCAAGCTCAAAAAAAAGCTCTCAAGTTAAGGCCGAAATGGAGGAGATATCCCACCCTATCCTGAGAGTCCACCTCTGCATCAAGACAAACTCTCCATGCAAAGATAGGGAGCAAATACATAGACAGGGCTGCCACCTTATTTGGGGACTCCAAAACTGAAAACACGGCAACCCTGCTAATGCATTTGCTCCCTATCTTTGGATGGAGAGTTTGTCTTGATGTAGACGTGGACTCTCAGGGTAGGGTGGGATATCCCCTCCATTTTGGCCTCAATTTGATAGCTTTTTTTGAGCTTGGGAGTTGATTTCAGAGAAAACCAGTGGCACCATCGTGTTTCTCGCGAACTTTTACACAAGAATCAACGGTCAAATCGCAAATTCCTCACACATGCAACATCTCCATTGGGGAAGGCCAACCGAATTCGAAACTTTCTGCTCCTCTGTCCCAGGTTTTCGAAGCGATCCAGGTGGAAATCCATTTCGATGCGCGAAACAGGGGTAATTAAAGTTCAATTGAGGAGCGTGTTTATTCGACACTCGGCGTGTCTTGTCACAATCGTCGAGTGGGACAAACACTCGTTCGTTGTCCTGTCCTAATTCACTTACGGGCCCGGGCAGGAGTCGCACAAAGGGTCGGGCCATCAGAAGAGGTCGAACATAAATTTTTTTAATACAAATCTCAAAATTTGATGTCTTTCCCGCCAAAATTTAAATTTACAGAGGTGCTACTTGAGGATAAATTTCTGCGGCGACCGATCAAGCCTTTCTTGGACCTCTACGTTTTTTAATAATGAAAATATAAGCTTCCGAAGTTTTCGAAATACGTCCGACCTTTTCCATCGACCCGAACCAGTGTGCGTCGCTTCACGAATGCGGGCCTCACACGGCGAGGCTGGTGCGCGCTTCGAGTGCCCTGTCGCGAACTCTCAAATCGCCTGTCAAAAATTCTATCGAGCAACTTTCGCGCTGGTTCGAGGGGAGACGCGTTGGGTGTCCCATCATTCGAGAGATCGACAGGTGGAGTGATAAGGACCATCCGGACACGGGACCATAGAGAATCTCTGAGGAAAGAAGGAATACTCATTGACCCCTGATTGGCTCAGCCATCTCCATCTTCATGGAGACCTGGGGCACCGGAAAAATGTCATAGAGAAAAAAAGGAGGTGTTTGTATCTTGAGGATTGTTTACCCTGTGACGTAGGTCGGTGCAAAATGGCATCGATATTAAAGCAAAATCCGAATTTTGAAGTATGAAAAACGGACCACGACGTCAATTTTTTTCTGCTTCAAGCAGCTCTTGATATAATTTCAAACACTTTACATACCTAGAATTACTTTTCCCCCTAAACTAAACCATTTGCAAAAAAATCGATGATAAAAATCGTCCGTACTGACCTACGTCATCAAAAAAATCCAAGATGCCTGAAATGCGAACACCTCATTTTATTTCTCTGTGGATAAATGTCCAGCGTTGCTTGCTCAAGTACGAATAATTTAAAATGGCAGAGTATGTTAAAGGGTGGGTTTATTTAGATTTCAAAATTTCCCAAATTTTTAGATGCGCCCTAAGAGCTACAAATTTCCGACAACTGAGAACATTACCCACAGCCCAGTTTTGTTGATACCTATAGAATTTGAGACTATTTAACATAGAAAGTTGAAAGTTTCTACACATACTTC